TGTGCATAGCAATATAGCGCACGCTACTCACAAATGCAAATACGTGCTTTTGGGAAAAGCCGAGACTTGTGGTAGGAATGGGGCGGCTGAATATTGCGGAATACACGTGATGTCTATCAGAAACGGTTACCTTAACTACATGTGTAATGTTTGCAGTGTTTGGAGTTAAATGCCATTATGGCTTATGTAAAGCCCACAGGGCAAACAGGACACGAAACCAACTTATTTATGAAAGGAAGAAAGATTATCTCAGCGAACCTAATCGAGTATTCAAGATAGAAATTTAAGTTTTTATCTTGCACATTGTAGCAAATCAATTAGACATTTGACTTTGTATTTGAATACAAGCAGCAATGACTACTGTATGAGAACTCAACGCTCTCGCTCTTGCGAAAGTCGCCAACTGACTGGTTATTCTCACATGAGAAAAGCTGAATTGAATACATTGCTGGACATCAGCTATGTCCACCCCCTCACTGACGTCGACATCGTTAAACCACTAATAGCCAGCAAATCGACGAGGAGTTTATTTTAAAAGTATCAAATACCAGTTAACCATCAAAATGTCCCTAAACAAACAGAATAACGCGGATGGCAGTACCGAGTATGACGAACCTTATTTCAGAGGCAATCAAGAAGTCATCATCCAATCGGATGCTATAAATTCGACGAAAGATACATCATTCCAAAAATTCAGGAAATAATGGAACGATGGACTCACAGGGGTTCCGGGTGGGTCGTGGGTAGTATCGATACTATCTATTTGTATATAGCGAACCATATGACTTTCAAAGGCGGATCTTACCTAGACTTGCCTCCACATTACAAGAAAAAGAAGGCCATCATTAACGTTAAAATAACAATATCAACTGCTTAAGGTGGACATTGAGATCTGCCTTATTTCCCGCAGATGCTAATTCAGATAGGCCTTCAAGCTATCCCACAGACAATGGACTCAACTTCGAGGGTATAATCGCGCCTACCCTAATCTCCCAAATCTCTAAGGTGGAAAAGCAACATAATTTGGCCATAAATCTTTTCGGGTAATATTGTGCACAGAATAAGCCCGTTCCGGAAAACATACCCAGGGTCAATTTATTACTGGTTAAAAGGGTAGTCAAAATCATAAGTTTGAGCAGACTATTAAGAGGTCAATCAAACCATAATGGTGAAAAAAACCACTTAAGCAAACGAACGGTTACAGTCGAGCAGATGTGGAAGGACACGACCCTAGACAGCTGTGGAAACACATTCTTTATCTTAATGCAAACAATTTGTACGGCTGGGCCATGATTCAGCTTTTACACATTTATCCCAAAGTACAGATCATATGTCATATGTTGTAATCATATGTTGTAATCAATTTACAATTGCATATTCTTAACACCTTCAGGAGAATATGTATTTATGTAAAGGTGCTAATATCAGAGTCTATACAGCTATAAACATACATGAATATTGGTCTACAGTCTTTGCTTGTGTTGAATGTTAAATATGGACTTTATCCAAAGCAGGTAGTACATTACTAGGCAAATAAAGTATGTAGCGATGACCAAAATTTTGTAAATCTATCATATGAACAGGTTGTAAGAGCTATACATTTGAGACATAATAGTATTGGCAGCAGATTCTAAAAATATTCTTTTGATCTGGTACTATTCCATACTTTCGTTTGACTGTTTAATAAGAAGCAAAATTATATCCAAAGGATCATTTCCGAGAATTTTCCTTTAATCCAGATATAACGGGATCGATTTGTGACTTGTAAGTTTAATCCTTATTCCAGCATCAGCTCATGCTGTTGATCACTCTTCAATTTTCTTCCAAAGTCTATTTTATCAAATTAAAACTAATCCTCCGCTCAAAAGGTGGAAAATAGTTATCATTAGAAGTATAATACTATTCAGCATCAGTGATGAGCCACTCACTTTTCTTCCAAAGTCTTTTATTTTATGTAAATAATATTTTGTGCCTATAGATATTGTTAATAATTTTCATTTGGAACCATCTTAATTCTGTACTCTGTGTACATCTAAATGGAATAATGTTGTAAGTTCTCCACTCTCATTCATCAATGTTAGATTCAAGTATGGTTTCCCATTTTAAATTTGAGGCTGATTTCTTGAATATTGACGGGAGAAGAGTGATATAAAACAACTTGCTACCCTTATCGGAATCTAACAGTTTATGAATGTAGTAAGGAACTATTGGCAATTCTAATAATATGTGGTCTGAGTTAAGGGTAGCATAATTATAATTTTAGGTAGGTGTTTCACACAACTGATAAGACTTTGATAAGATAAGAAATTGGCATTGCAATGAAATTTAGCTACAAATTCATTAAAATCTAAATATTTTCCATCATTATCCAGTAGATCTTTAACCGACCTTACTTCTTTCTTGTACCAATCTGAGTAAAAAGGTGTTTCATTATCAATAATTAGTTTGTTGTTGAACCACAGAGGAAATGTCAGAAATTCCTCTACACATGGTGATAGTTCCAATAAGGTTTCAATGTAATCTGCCCAAGCCATAAGTACATCGCTCCAAAAAGGATTATTTATGTTGTCGGCATATTCTTTTATTCGACTTGGGCCAATTTCAAAGAAACTTACTGGTAGTGGACGTAGATTTACGAAAAAAAGATTTTGTAGGTTTGAGTCTTTTATAAAGCTTCTTTTTATCCAAGACAGTTTTTTGTGACTGGATTGTTTTAAACATATGTGGTACTTTAATTCCTCCATCTTTATGAGTACAGTACATTTCTCTCTCTTTATTTTGTCAGTTGATAATGACATCATTAATGTAAAGTATACCTAAAGACTCTAAGGAAGGATTTATTCTTGTTGGGGAAATAATAAGCGAACCAACGTTGAAAAACTCGTACCAGACTTAAGGGATAAGAAAAAGTACATCGTTCACCATAGAAGTGCAGTTGTATCTGTAATTAGGAATGAAGCTGAAGTAAAAATACAAGTGGTACTCAAGAATCTATTTAAGCTCATGAACAACTCGGTATTTGGCAAAGCCATTGACAATTTAAGAAGTTAGTTAGATCTAAAGAGGAAGAAAGACTTAGGAAACTGATAGGGAGCCCGGGCTTCAACAGAAGTAAAATATTCGACAAGGACTTGGTGGCATTGCACATGAACAAGAGTAACATAAGAATCAGCAGCCCAGTATAGGTTGGTATGAGTATTCTTGATCTCTCCAAACACTTGATGTACGACTTTTACAACTCAAGAAGCAGTATGGTGGTGGATGCGAGGTGTTGTACACCGACACCGACTTGTTCTTGATGGAAATTCAAAATGAGGACGTGTACAAGGACATGGCAAAAAACTTAAACCTGTACCATGTGAGCGATAACCCTCAAGACCACGCCCTACACACCATTGCAAATAAGGCACTCGGAAAAATGAAAGATAAATGTGTAGGGACTCCTATTATGGAGTACATCGGATTAAGACCTAAAATGTATTCCATAAAGAATGCTGACGGCGGTGAGATAAGAAAGGCTAAAGGTGTGTAGAGTGAAGAAGTATGTCGTGAAAAAAACAAATAAAACACGAACAATTCAAAGAGGCCCTATTCCATGGTCGAACGCTCAAACACGAAATGAATGCTTTGAGAAGTGACAAGCATAGGATATACAGGATAAGTTTAAACAAAACATCGTTGACGCTCATGGATTCAAAAAGATGGATTGCTGACGATGGTGTAACGACTTATGCATACGGGTACAGTAGGATCAAAGGGAAAATATCAGTATATGTAACATTAGTACAGCCCACAGAGATATTGAAAAGGTAACAGAATGATACATGAACTAGCAGCTGTGGCTAAGGTGTCCGAAGATGTTGCTAAGGATTGGTTGAAGTAACAGGCCCTATGGCAAATATATTTGTGAGCTCCACGATATATACAGAGGAGGAAGTTTGATATTCACAACCTCTTGTTTCTCCCCCCACGATAGGGTAGAGCATAAAATGTACAAATATGCTTTAACCATCGTCGATGTGGCTAGTCAATACAAAGAAGCCCAGCTATTAACCACAAAAGATTCGACTCAAGTTGCCAATGTGCTGTAGCGTATATACAAACAGAGTCCTTTGAAGTGGCCTACAGAATTATAAGTCAACTCCGGATGCACCTCATACTGAAGTACAAGGTCGATGTCAAGCAAGGTTTAGCAGGTTCATGCAGCCAAGCATTTGTTGAGAGATTTAATCGAACATTAGCAGAATGCTTGTTCAGGTATCAGTTCACATAGGAGATGGTCACGCCCGATAAACATTGACGGAATGGATGACACGTTTACCCAGAGTGGTGTCTGCGATAAATAATGAAGTGATTCGATTAATCGGTAAGAAACCATCTGTTGACGTTAAAATGAAATCCGTCACTTCCGAATCGTCTGTACCGTGCAGGGACAAAGAGCGGAAAATCAGCTTAAGAGTGGTTATACCAGCCTGGCGAACTCGAGGGAGATAGTCTTCAACGCGCCACCAACTCTGTTTGGCCCCTCAAAACGTACAACATCATTCTGGTGGATACGAAAGAAGGTGAACCGTTTTTGTATTACCTGAATGATGGGCCAGCCATAGGATTCATGCGAGAAAATTTACTCATCGTACCCAACGACACGGTATTACCCACTAAGAATAAAAAAATTTTATTGATCCTAAGGCTTCAACCTTTAATACGAGCGGGACAGTGTTTAGTGGGGGCTGGGCGAAAAAGATGGATGAGTGTCAGTGGTCCAGTTTCTTCATTGTGTATACTACTCGAGCACAGCTTTGTCGTATCAATAAATACTTTGTGGTTGTGTGCCGTGCTAAAACGAGACAAAAAATAGACATTGCACTACATTGACTCCGTTGTCATGGAGTACACTAGCGTAAACAGGGCCGTCATGGTGCAGTGTGGATAGAAAGCTACGTTAAATATTTCCTTTCGTTTGAACGTCAATATAAACAACTATTTATATCCTATGTAGTGTTGGGTGAAACTGCATAGGACTTCATGTAGGAGTTTCGTGGTGATTCGGCGTAGCGCAAATGTATAAAATAAGTACAACCGTGGTTTAACTTCCTCCTTGTTATCAACACCACACATGTGGTATGGTAAGCTTATTGACCTACCCTGGCAGCTTTCCAGGTCAGAGACAGTTGAAACCTGATAAAACCTGAGTGATACACAGGACCACGGTAATAACAGTGTCTTTTGTGACGCCATTAACACCCTCAACACACACGATGAAAAAGTGAGTATGCTTGTTAACTATACGCCGTTTCTAATGTATATATAGGGAAAATATCACTCAGTAATAACGCTGAATTTCGTTTTAAATCCTGTTCGACGGGTTGGCTGCCTGGTCGAGTATACAACATATTCAATCCATACTGACGTATGTTTTTTGTATAACTTACATATCGATCTTTCTAGTAGACAGATATCTGTTACTTATAACGACACCTCATATCGTTTCGTACATCGTATTGTTTCATGTGCTGCAAGTAGCTTGAGATTCACATATACATGAAGAAGAATATTTCCATAGTGGTGGGATTAACGGGTCAGTATTAACACTGTCGCGCAATGTAACCTTCCCTGTTACGTCACATTAACATGTAGAAACAGAGTATGTCTGCCTGTCTGTCTGTCTGTATGTATGTCTGTAAGCCTCCCTCTCTCTCTCTCTCTCTCTCCCTCCCTCTCTCTCTCTCTTACTTTCTCTCTCTCCCTCTCTCTCTCCCCTCTCTCTCTCTCTCTCTCTCTCTATATATATATATATATATATATATATATATATATATATATATATATATATATATATATATATATATATATATATATTATTTTTTTAAGTAAAATACACTACGACAGAACGCTTTAACCACTCGGCTACCTCACCGCCCCTGACTTTTTAACTGTTCTTATTGATACTTACTTTTTATTATTATCAGTCTGCAGGCAGGCAAACAGGCAGGCAGGTAGGTAGGTGGGGTGGTTGGGTAACCCGAAGTATGCATGTGTGTTTATGTAACAATGTGAATGAATATATGTTCAGATGTAGATTTGTGTACTCATGTGTTCACGTGGATGTGTACATGCACGTGTGTGTGTGTGTGTGTGTGTTTGTACAGTCATGTATACACGTTTGTGTATATATGCGTGTGTGAATGTTTTTTTCTCATGTATATACGTATGTTTTAATTATTATGCATATGTTATGTGTGAATATATACATTTCTCCTACATAACACTGTTACACTCAGTAACAACAAAACAAATTCATGATCAACATTGGGACACGCTGCTAGGTGTGCACGGCCGATTTTATTTCCATGTCACATTCAAATTCAGTTTACACTGACAAATATTTCACCCAGACTAGGTACAATACATGTTAAACTTAGCAGTCCGTTGCTGAAGCCCGACACGTAAAACCAGAGATAAACCTTCATGAAGAAAAACTCTGGAACCGTGTTCCCTCAACGTATGCAATAGCAACCTGTACTGGAGGGTCTACAGCAGACTATGTTCACCTTAGATATAAGGTACCTTACATGTGTTGGAATAAACCTTAGAAAACATTCATATTTTGATAATGTAAATAAACAGGACAATGTGATAACATCACCATTACTTATAATTAGAGTCCGTGTTTAATAAATACTCCTCTCTGTTACAGCAGTATAATGACTCTTCAACCAACAGTTAAACACCAATCCTTAAAGTAACTGTATTATAATGGCTCTTCAGCCTCAAAGGGATATACAAATAGAGATGAATATATCGGTCATTATATCTGACGTCAGTTATTATAAAGGCTCTTCAGCCAGCAACATATATAAAACACCATACGCTTAGATGCATGAATAGAAGTATTATAACGGCTCTTCAGCCTAACAGTATATACAAACATTGTATTTGCTTCATTTCAATATATGAATAGAAGTATTATAACGGCTCTTCAGCCTAACATATATACAAATATATTGTAACTGCGTCATTTCAAATTATGAATAGATGTATTATAACGGCTCCTCAGCCCAACAATTCTACACTACATCAATGTACAAATCAGTTCACTCCAGTATACAAACTTGTGAGTATTATCATGGCTCTCCAGCCGGGATGCAGCCATATAACCTGCACACCTAATATGTCTCCTGACAGTAACCAACACCTGCAACATATGAACATAGTTTCATTATGAATACATAACTATTGGGAATTAAAGAAAAATATATATATATATATATATATCTTTACAGTAAGCAATACGTTAGAGTCCATCATAAAGCGGCCGTGGTGTACTTTCAGCGAGAATGACCAATTCAAATTAAGTAACCCTTATATATCCTTAACAGCGCCACCCCACGGGCAAGTAACTCTCGTTACACACCGCTAGGAGAAAACAATTTCCTACTAATTCATCCTTCAAACGTAGGAAATATAATTTATGTACGTTTCTGAACGCATGTAATGTTACCCTCCTTCCTTACTGATAGAGGTACCTACCTTCAACTGGCGTTGTGATGAGTGGACGTCCACTTCTTGGTCTGTCTACTGTGACCCAAGTTTGTCTGAAGCCCTGGATAGGTCTTATAACCGTGATGCGGTGGCATCCGAGGACGTTGGCAACAGCATTGTATGTCGACCCCATCTGCACCATCCCAATAGCTCTTTCTTTCTCTTCAGCTGTTAATCGTGGCATATTTTCGTACTTGTGTATCATATCATCTTTTCTAGGCTATATTCATACCCTATAGAATCATTCTACATGTGAAATGGATGCAAATACTGCTTGAATATTGCTGCGTTTTGGCGATTGGTATTGCTATGTGTAAACAGAAAATGGAACAATGTTACTTTGCAAGCAAAAATGTTAATAAAGATAATTTTAGATGTTCCTAAACATTTTTTCACAATATCAAAGACACGTTTACGGGTTTTCACTCATGCAAATCAGCAGAAAATGTTTTGAAAAACTGAAATCATAGGAATGATTATTTTACAGTTTTGCACACTCTACAACAGTTGTTTCTTGTTTTAATTTTAATAGTTGAAAATGGTGACTTAAAATGGTTTATCATTGTCCCAAAGCAGAAGTTTATTTCAACCTTTCTTTTGGACATCTAAATCACTGTTATTGGTTTATTTCGGCATGGACGAAAATAGGACAATTTAACCATTCTGAAAACGATGCATTTCACCTAAATATGAATGCATTTGAGAATTGTTTTTCTTTATTTTCCATAAAGCTGTGTTATTAAGCTTTCTTGTAACGAATACCTTCCAACATATCTTTGATAGTTTTTAAGTAATTCATAAAGGTAGGAGGGTCACGTTTATTTTGGCGTTTAGTGTATGTGTGTATGTGTTTGTGAAGATTGGTAGGAAGGTGTCTCTATGTGTGCAAATGCGTAACTGTTTGTTTGTGTGCCTAAGTGCGTTTGTGCGTAAGTGCGCGCTCGCATGTCTGCTAAATAGGTCATACACAAGATTTCCACATTTTTAACAAATGATTTTTTCTTTCAGAAAAGTATGTCATGCACGTGCAGTACCTGCGAGAAGGTTGAAAGCCAGTACGTAAAGACACAGGAAAGGGCGCCAAATTTGTTCGTTGATCACATTGACATATGCGATTTAAAAGGCAAACGGAAGCATAAAACGCAAAAGCAGTTAAGACTGAGAGAAATAGAAATCCAGGTGTCTGCCCTCAGAAATACAGCAGGGGGCAACATTATTCTTCATGTCAATGGGACAGCTTGTGCTGATCGTTTCCTTGGATGCGTTGATGAGTTCCTGGAAGAAAGTTTGAATAATTTCATATGTGATGGAACCTTGTTTGTTGACACATACACACGGAGATGGCTAAGTGAAATAGGCACATTTGAGAAATTCACAGATTGCATCCTCATATCGGTTGAGAAAACAAAAGGAGTTGCTACTGTGGATTTTAAAACTAAAATTTGCTCGGACTTAAAAGTCGAAAGGCCATCAACTCTTAACATCGTGTCTATCTTGTGTCACAGGAAGAGTTCCTCCGAAAAAGCAGCAACATTAAGAGGCCTGCCACCAAATCCACAAGAATGTCGAACCATCCAGCTCAAAACATATCGACCTAAAGACCAAGAAAAAAGCAACATTGAAAGTCACCCAGATAAATTTGCTTTTTATGTTTGGGACAAACTTCGCTTCCGGGAATACCTCAGCTGTATGACCAAAGATGAAGACGGAGGGTCCTTTTATTTAGGAATTACAGAAAAAGAAACGGAATATCAGAGTGCATCACCGGGGAGCCCACGGACCTACAGAAGTTTGGTTCCAGAGATTGAGGGATTTGTATTGCCCTGTAGTGAAGATGAAATAAAGAACAGTCTTCTGCGTTTGATTCAATCTCATGTCAGGATACTACACGTTGATACTGCCCTCAAAAACTTGTCACCAGATCTTGTAAAATTTGAATTTCATCGTTTGCAACGAAGTACTTCTGGAAGCAACAGGTATGTTCTGGAGATTGCAGTTGGTTATACGAGCGGGATAGTGTTCTATGACGAAAAAGGTCCAGTGGCGTATCACTTAATAGAAGGGGAAGTTGAAAGAATTAGCCCGGACGACTGGTTAAGCAGAGTAACAAAAACCTTTGATGATCTCAAAGGTGATTCATCTCCATAGTAAGCAAGAACCTTGTGAAGTTAAGAAGCTTGCCATCAAATCCACTAGAAAGTCGAAACATCCAGCTCAGTATCGATCTAAAGACCAAGACAAAAACAGGAAAACTAAAGCAGAATCTTAATTTAGTCTTGGTCAGAATCAATATGGAAATGACATCAAGTTCAGATGCGACTCGTTCGAGTCTCTCAGACGGCACCTTAGACAACCTTCATAAAGGAATGGTTTGTGCCTACAATAAAAAACGTGACGATAGCAGTGATAGCAATGATGAAACACTGGACAACCCAAACAACAAGCCCATACAAGCAGGATCCGATGATTATTTTGAAGAATCGGCCACCATCACCAGACGCAGAAAACGTCTAGTCCCAGGTGAGATGGTTCATTTCATTGTCGGGGATAAATGGTGTCTAAAATATCACATGGTACTTTCAACACTGGAGTCACCATGTAACATTCACTTGTATGTATTCTGTATTTCCTATCAAATATATTTGTGTCCACGTGATACTAAATTTCTATTGTTAATGTCTGGTGTTTCATATCATTAACAGGTACTATTATTCTCCATGTGATGTCAAATGCAACTACGGATTTGCCAGAACAAAGGAATATATATAATTTCGATTATATACATATCTATATGTATAATACAAAGAAATTTATGTAAACTATATTTATTACTCTTCTTACCTTTCTTATGTTTTTCCTTTCTGTCATTTTCTGTTCATGTACAGTGCAAATTGCAGTTCATTTATGTACATATTTGGAAGAAGGTGTAGTAATATAAGTTGGAGAACTAACTCTTGTATTTCAATTCATTTTCTATGTCAATAGAATACGTTTTAAACCAAACAATGTTTACAGAGAAAACTTACAAAACAGTTCCGAGGTATCATCAGTTCTAACTACTCTCATTTATCAACCAGATGAGATGAATATGTATTGTGTGAAAATGTGTTATCAATGGGTGCCATTACTTAAAGTTGACGATACAAACGTTTAAGGCACTGAATAGAAATTTACTTAAGAGTTTCGTTGATGCTAATGTCTTCATATATACTCTGAAAGAAACGCAACAGTGGTTTGAAGATGTATACTCAATGTACTGAATAAATTACAAATTGATATAAGGCATTGTCAGTGACTTAGGTTCATCATGTATTCCACCTGCACAAATCACTCCCAACACGTGCAGACATTAGGAAATCATGTTTGGTATTCATTTTGTATGAATATCTGCAAACCCCGTCAAATGTGTCAAATTTTATACTTTTGCGTTTCTTTTTTTGCAGAGTTTATACATTTCAAAGTAGTTTCCTGTTCCTCTACATTAATATGATACGCTTCACAGTATCGTCTAATACCTCCGTGGTGTCTATCCATAATCCGGTGGCGTAGCTACAGTGGTTAAAGTGTTGGCTCGTCACGCCGAAGGCTCTGGTTCGATTCCCCACATAGTACCATGTGTGAAGCCCATTTCTGGTGTCCGCCGCCGTGATATTGCAGGATTACTGAGAAAAGCGACGTAAAACCATACTCACTCACTATCCACAATACAGACGTTGACATTCACGAAACACGAATTCTAATGGTACAAATGGTATTGTTTTAACTACGAATATGATATGTCCCCAACATCAAAGTGGACACAAACTGTATGATGAATTGGTAAGATAAAGAGTAGGTATGTCATGTACAAGTATGCATTAGTCACGATAAACTATGCTGGTTAATTATGTTTACATAGAGGAACTAGTTCGTGCTGAGCCCCAGCAGCTACCTTCCAGTTATGATCAGAAGGATCTGATGAGTATTTTGATGAATATTCAAACACAACAAGGTGAGATCAAATGAGGAGAAGGTGGAAAGTTGTCAAAGGTTAAAAAGTAAAAAGCGAAGATATTTGACAATGACAAGAATATGAAAGAATAATTGAACATGTTGTTTTTGCAGAACGTGAACCATCAAAACCATAATGAATATTTGCATTATGTTTAATATTTCACTGACAAATAATATTTTTGGTTCACAAAGGTCTGCCAAATTACGCCTAGTCCATTGTTTTCTTTGTTTGAAAGTGGACCTCAGAGTTATGTCGAATAGTGTTATCTTCATATACATGTATCATAATTATTTTATTATTATGTTTGCCAAACAAAGAGTGTGAAAGTCTGGCTTGTCACATTTGGAAATACTGTGTGGCTGCATCTCGAAGAGAGACAAATTATGATTATTCCTACTTAGTTGGCAAGAGGTGTTGGATGTGTATACTGGTGTTGCAAGGAAATGGCGTGTTCATGGTGAATGAATAAACGAACGAACGAATGAATGAATGATACATTTGTATACCCTTGCACCTGTAAAGACACAGTTCCAATGTTTATGTGCCAATATTAGCAAAATGTGCCTGGTATTTTTATACATGTCATCATTGCCTTTTTATGTCATTTCTTAGACAATCTTCCTTCGGACATTCAACGAGTTTAATGTAAGCTTTAAGCAAGACACGGTATGTCCATTACATAATACATATGCACGTCTATGTGTGCATGTCTTGATAAGTCATATGATTTAGTTGCAACCTAATATTGTTGACATGATGTCATTCTCTGTTACGACAGACACGCTGCTGAAGGAGATAAGGGAGATCAAAGACACACAGAGGGAGATTCAACGAGATTTGGTGAGACTGAAAGGTGAGAGTGGTTTATTACTCAATTGAACACATAACCATCACTTGTAAGACGTTGTATTGTATTGTATTGGATTGTATCGTATTGTATTGTCAAGTGACTGCGCTGAGTTAGCGGGATTAGCTGTGCAAGTAATTGTCATCTTTGGGTCGTGGGTTCGAATCCCACATTTGCCTCGAATATGATCTTTGAGCTGTAACCACCAAACCTCTTCTCGTTGGTTTCACCAAGACGTAAACCTCATAAAGTGCTGTACAATGTCACAGTCACGTCCTGTTCTCTGCACAAGTTTTCGTTTCCTTCAATATTTTGATAATGCATAATTATCATTCAGTGATGAATGTTATGAGACGTCTGGTTATCCGTCTTCATTTCAGGCAGCAGCAGTGATGGTGACCTCAGTGTATCGGGTCTTAACTATGACAGACGTGCCCGATATTCAGTGAGTATGAACAAATATACATCCTGTAGAGTACGGAGTATTCCATCCCTGTCTTACCCCTGTGACAGTAACGTCCACTCTACGAGAACTCAGTTTCACTAAGATGTTTGTAGCGCAAGTATGCAAGAGTTTCTACACAAGAAATTTCCTCGTATGTCTTTCTTAATATGAGCTAATCACTCTGACTTTCAGATTCGTCCCATGAGTATAGTACATACGGGAATTCAAGAAATGCCGAATTCTGAATCATCATATGGAGAAACAAATGAAGAGGACTGTAATATTAGGCTTTAAGAATGTTATTATTTTGTAATCACTGCACAACACGAAGTTTCGTGTGTACTGATGGATGTAATGTTGTGCAGTCGACGATCAGACAAACGAGAGACATCTTGAAAGGCACAGGGTTTTGTCTCAAGCGTCAAATGAAATAACTCCTGTTTCTAAAGTTTGTGAATGAGAATAGCGTGGGGACGTTCTTAATACATGACGTCACGCAACGAAATTACAATACACTGACGTCATAGCACTGAACAACATCAATAACATATCACTGCGCGTCGAAATGGAGCAAAACATGTCATTTTCATCACACATTTGTACCGATATTCTACATATTACACACACAATGAAGCATTACGTCCAACTTTTTGTCACTTTTATGAGGGTGAGTTAATTACCAATATGCCTAGGGAGTATAAGTTTAGTGTCCAACGGCTGTGAATATCCAAATGTATTTCTTCAGGACAAATATATCGCTTCAGATTTGTAAAATGCCAATCTTATACCACGTACAATATGCTTGTGCACACAGGAGGACAGCCATTACTAATATAAGGATTCCTTGAGAGTTTATTTACAAAGGTCCTCGCTGTAATGTATTCACTGCACTGTTTACCATATGTGTTTCCCATACCTTCTTGTTATTACGAATAATATTTTTATGAGAATCTGTGCTGCATATCTTCCTAGAAGTGAATATATACTCTTCAAAAAAAGAAACTTGACATGCTGTTTTGGAGTTTACTTACTGAGTGCATATAACTGATTCAAACATGACATCATCGCTCAGATACAGTAAAATCATCCCTTTACAAATTTCCAAAACATGATTATCCAGAAAGTGTTTGGTAAAACCACAGAGGGCTACTAAAGCCACTTGGTCAGAGTAAAATGTCATTATCTGGTGTGACCACCATGAGCATCGATAACAGCTTGGCAGCGGTGACCAATAGAAGAAAGTAGATGCCGAATGCTGTCTTGAGGAATGTTTTGATACACTTGCTGAAGTGCTGTGTGCAGTTCTTGTAGTGTCTGAGGTGGCGGATTACGCTGGCGCAATCGTCGATCAAGAGTATCCCATAGATGTTCAATGGGGGACAAATCCGGTGATCGAGAAGGCCAAGGTAACAACTGAACATTGTTTTGCTGGAGGAAGCCCTGTCAAACATGTGCAACGTAAGGTCGAGCATTGTCATGCTCCAATGATCACGTTGATGTAGGAAACGACGTGACGTTGAACTAGTCTTCTGGCAAAACGTCTGGCTTTCCATAGCCAAATGCGCACCGTCTGGTCGGAGATTCGGAGCAGTCCAGGGATTTGGATTGTTGTGGATGATGCGGCCGTGGTGTTTGAACGAAAATGCCTCAACCGAATGTAGCGATCCTGGGCGTCGGTGGTAACTCCAGGTCGACCTGACCTGGGTCTGTCATTAACACTCCCAGTATTTTTGTATCGGGTCCATGGGTTGGAGGTCTGTCTGGACACACTGAAGTGCCTTGCCACATCATGCTACGATGTCCGCCCGGCCGATGGCGTTGTGTCGTTGAGCTTCTGTCAGTCTTTTCATTCTCTTGTCGTCTATAGTGGATTAAAGCAATGCATGTGGAGTACCATTGATGTGGCTTTTTAAAGCCTACAGTCATAGGCTTCAGCTCAGGGTGATACACAATTTAATGATGCTCGTGCATTTCATGTAGGTGCGTTTAAGCGATTCACAACAGACGTGAGTGTCACGTTACGTTTTTGTTAAACGTTCCTTTTTTCAAACATTTTGTCGTCGGCAACCATTCCCCCACATGTTGGGATTCAGCATGGATTGGTTTGTGCCAAATATTTTCCTTTAATTCAAATTTGTCCTATGTCAAGTTTCTTTTTAAAACCTACATTCATCCTATGTATATTAATTACGCTACATACGTGGACATTGTCAATCATTAACACGTAACAACATACATTCATCACATATATATACATATATATATAGATATCACATAGATAAATAAAACATGTGTATGTATATTTTCAACTGAAATGATAGATTGATCCATTTCATGATGTTTGCTCTTCATGTACATTGTATAGTGTATGTAACCACCCACCCACAGAGCATCATACCACATACAGATCACAACACCAAATGAGAAATTGAAGATAAAAGACTTGAATATTCATACGCTGTGTTGTGGTAATTAAGCCTTCAATGTTAATCAGGGACATTGTTTTAATCAGAATCATATATTCAAGTCATCAGAGAGATGATGGACAAAGAAATGTCACTTAATACTGAAACACAGTGTAGTGGTAATCAAACTTTCATAGTTAATCAGAGACATTGTTCTGAACAGAATCATATATTCAGTCAAATATTGGGGTAATAATCGACAAAATATCCATAACCCTCGGTGTAAATCAGAGACATTATTTAAGTCATATATGCTCTACAGTCGGTGTGGAATACAATAGCATATATCTAACGTCCTCCCGGTGTAGGGCGGTGGGGTGGCCTTGTGGTTAAAGCGCTCGCTCGTCACGCCGAAGACCCGGGTTCGATTCACCACATGGGTACCATGTGTGAAGCCCATTTCTGGTGTACCCCGCCGTGATATTGCTGGAATATTGATAAAAGCGGCGTAATATTAAATTCACTCATTCACTCATCCCGGTGTCAGTTAAAGACTGGTGATTTCAATGTCAGCATCTGGTTCCACTTCCCACGAATCTGGCGTTTGAGTTTCCACAGACAAGGCGGTTTGTGTGCCAGTTATACTCAGAGGGCGAACCTGCAACGAAAGAAATATAATACTTAACGTTTGACAAGAATACTGAAATACTACATCCACAACTTACGCATAATGCCAGAAGAGAGGTGAATACAGATTTTTCCTATCCCTTGCAAAAGGTGTGTTGTATATCAAAACACAACACAGCTAACTCTTTATAAAACGAACACGGGTTAGAATTGGTCTACATCAACCAATGACTGTCGTGAGCGGTGACTAACGGGATCGCCTAGTCAGGCAAGCTGACTTGGGGGATGCTTGTCATAGCATCTCACTTGCGTAGATCGATGCTCATGATGTCAATCACTGGTTTGACTAGTTTAGAGTCGATTATTTAGTGGAATATGGCTGGAAATGTGTGACGTTAAACAACACGGAAAAAAAGGAAGAAAATAAACAAAATGTCCCACCCCTAATATTTTCTAACTTCTGTTTCAAACTCATTTTCCCAGCTTACTGATTTGTCCATATGTGAAGGCCCAAATGAAAGGGTTATTAATCAACGACGACGGCTTAAAACAATCCTACTCCTAACGTGAATGATTGAGAGAGATAATCTCTTATCATGATTACAGGGAAGTTGTAACAAAGTTGAAAAGATTCGGGTAGCGTACATCCATATTCGCCTTCCTCCTATTTTGCGGAAACACAATAACTTCTCAGAAAAAAATACACTAATGAAATCCAACCCACTGTTTACTGGGCACGTCTCTGGTACGGCTCATACTGCAGCGCCTGTATACTGTCATCACCATCAATACCGCTACCTACAAAGCAGATTCCTGTGGGGTTAGGTCTACATTACAGGGTTATGACGGACGCAATATATGGCCTCGATACGCATGTAAAGTGTTACTGACAGCCAGAAGATCGCACTGCGAGTCCAGTAGGATAATACATTCTGACAACAAATTCATTTATGGTCATGCCAAATAGGACGCAGGTTAAATGGCAGACCATTTTTTGTTTTTCTTGAATTTTCCCTTCCGTAAGCCTTCTGTATCTACCAATCTCCCTATTCCGTTGGATCTAGCCAGTGCCATACGGCCCCCACAAATTATTTCTGGAATTATTTCTGTTGATTTTCCGATAGCAATTAATCGATGGCAGAAACGAAAAACTAACGATGCATCGATAGTTTGTATGACTATCGATAGTTTAGTAATTGACTTCTGTTGATAAATGCGCAGCGCAAAATACAGGAAGTACCAGATTCGTTCACTTTGATTTAGAGTTATCCGCCCATGTTACCTCTTAAACAAACTTTATCTGGGTGTCAAGTTTCTTGTCAGTTATTAAAAGAGACTACTTCAGCTTGTTTTCATTTCATAAAAAACATACATATATTTGGGAAATGACTTCAAATGAGACAATCCAAGGAGAAAAAAACCTATTCCAATAGTATTGCAATAGTTGGTCGCAATAGTATGTTGCAATAGACTATCGCTATCGCAATAGTTGTTTCTCCCTCAACAGTCACTCCTACTACGTACCTTTCAGTCTCACCAAATGTCGTTGAATCTCCCCTCTGTGAACGAAATGTTGAAGTGAAGCAAGTGCGGTACGGTAGTAAAGTCTTACTTGTGTGTCAATCCTCTAATTATATTCTCGTGAAGAAATGTCGAATATGGGGCAATAATACCACGATAGCAATGCGTTAAAGGCGAAGAAGCGTATTTATCAAATCCTGAAATTGTCTTCAGAACCAAATAATGTATCATTCCATAATTATCGAAAGCAATGAAAAGGATAATCATACCTGCTTTAGAATCCGAGCTGTTCGTCTCCGTCGGTAACGTGTCTTCACCACAGTTGTTGGTTACATCATTTTCGGGATCATTTACTGTATATTCGAATGTTTCAACTGGTGATCCAGCGCTGTCGTCACATGAAGTTGCATATAGTGTGTAGACAAATCGGAACTTTATGAAGATTTTCAAGAGATTCATCTGAGGAACTCGAACGATTAGTCTCTGAACTAGACGTCATATTTTGGTGGGTATATTTAGCGAACCAGAATCCTTTTGAACACAATAACTGCGGTAATATTTTCCTATGTGAAGGGTATCTATCAATGAAGATGTCACAATGTACTTTCAAGATAAAGAAAGGGATACAGCACCTGTTACAAGGTCCTTGGTGGCAACGGAGATCAACTCAGATTATTAAATCTGGTACTTTACACAATCAATATCCACTAGCTGTTCGTGCAACGAAGTCTATATTTGAACGATGATAAGCGAATTGACCTTGTTAGTCACACAACACTCTTCCTCCGGACAAGGCAATCGCAATCTCAACGATTCAATTGATGCTTTCTCGCTTCAACAGGATAAAACTGGAAATTGAAGTCTGAAGAAATAGCTAAGTGTGGGTGGTGACACTGAATTCAATTAGCCGTTTAGGATTGTTAACGTTTTCCACATTGTAATTCAAATACTGCGGTTTCTAGGAATATACACACCTAAGTGCACAAGACGTCCGTTAATGTTTTGTATTTTTGTCAGCAATTCCTAAAAAGATTAACACCAACATTCATATTCTCAGAAGTGAAGTTTTCCCAGTGTGTGAGTGACGTTCACTGCTGTTTTTCTTGTTCTTTGAGCTCGATGATTTGATTTTCAGGTAGAGTTGATTCCAAGCCTCGTTATTCTGTGACAGAAAACAGACACGATATTAGGCGTTAATGGTTTGTTAGACTTTACATCCGAGCAAAATTATGTTTTAAAATCCACAAGAGCAACTCCTTTCGTTTTCTCAAGAGATGTAAGGATGAAATCTTTGAATTCCTCAAAACTTCAAACTTTACACAGCCGTTTGACTGTATAAACGAGACAAGATACCACCTCAAATATAATTGTTCACATTTTCTTTACATTCATCAAAGCATCTCCTAAATATATAACGGTCAAATTACCACGCTGTTCAAGTGAATTACATGTCAGGGCCTTGAAATATTCACCACTTCCTTATATCAGTGTACTGAACGAGCAACCCGTTATGTAAACTAATCTGGAAATGTTAACTTGATGTCATGTACGACTGACCGGGTAAAACAACGATCAAGGTACATAGTGTTGATAGATACACATATGATTTACTAATCTCTACATATATGTTGACACAATAGGCAATATAACCAAATTGATATATACTACTCAAAGTT